CGCCTGCAAGGGCCTGCAACATGATGCAAATCTGGAAGCCTAGTGATGGGCTCGTAACTCGTATGTCTGGAAAACCTCTAAAAAGTTGGTGAGTACCCCGCAGAAACATATGGCAAACTTCATGCACTGAGACTGACTACTGAAAATGTAACAGAACACTCTTTCAAAAGGCCCATGCTTTTCCACCTCTCAATCTTTCGTTCCAAAACAGGTCAAGCAAATTTCAAAAAGGAAGTATACAGCTGGAATGTCACAACATCCTCCATCCTCCACCCCTAACCAATTTCCGCACCTCAGCCGGTGGCGTGTTTCCGTCGGAAGCGCTCCAGATTTCTGCGGCTGCGTTGCGTCTCCTGGTGGTCAGGGCCATCGAGCTCCTGCACGGCTCTCGGTACATGGTCTGGAGACGCCAGGTCCAGGTGACAGGAGAAGTGAATCAAAATTTGATTGGTGAAAAAACCTTTTGCATCCCCTTTACTCTGTCGAACTGGCTGAAAACCACACGTGGTTCATAACTAGAATGATGGGCGACTGCATGGGCTGTTGACTGAAGATTCATTATCTTCATTTGCGACTTTTCTGGGATGCCCAATGTCAATCTTCATCTGCTACTGAACGTGCCGAAACCAGTTTGCAAGATCTTCAACTATCGGACTGGCCTCCATGCCCTTCAACTCTCTGAGATAGAGCTCTTCCACCTGGACAAACCGACCCAAAGTGAATGGCCACTGTTCCTCTTCTCTTCAACTTCATTTCATGAATTCTTGTCTGTGGACAACATAGCTACTGTAATACATTCAACGCCAGCAGTTCCAAAGTAGTTTGAGATAGTTTGAGTCGATTTTAGTAATGACCTTGATACAACGTACAAAAAGTCCGAACAGCTGCCTCCACCATTGTAATTACTTGCCCTTTTAGAGCTAGGATGCGCCCAAAGGGCAATTAGACCTTCGGATGCGTCCCAGGCTTGATTGAAAGGGTTCAAGTACAAACAACAACGAGCCTACAAACAAGGGCACCAAAATATGGTGTCCATCGAAAAGCAATTCTCCAAAACCCCTTGCAAAAGCATCCCAGAACCTCAAACATTGCCAAATGATGGCAAACACATCCAGACTGACAAACAAAATTGCAAAACACATTTAAAGATAAAAACACATATTTTAGGCAAAGACCTCCAAACAAATGGATGTTTTTCGTCCGTGTCCACCCCCTTCTTCGGTTCCGCTCCTTCTGCCTTTCCCCGGACCGACCTCTCACGGCTCCCCCAACCTCGGCTCCACGGCTCCACGGCTCGGAGCGACCGCTCTCCGCGCCTCGGGCAGGTGGCCGCCCTTCGCCTCCAAAAGGCGCGCGAGATTGAAGACGGTCTTCAGGGTGCTCGGATGACGGGCTCCAAGCTGAGCTTCACGGCCCGCTAAAGCCCTTCGGAAAAGGCCTTCGGCGTCTTGGAGCTTGCGCTGCTTCTTCAGCAATTTTGCAAGGTTGTTAACGGACGTCAGCGTGTCCGGATGACTAGCTCCCAGTTGAGCTTCACAGCCTGCCAGATCTCTTCTCTGAAGCACTTCGGCATCCTCGAGCTTGCCCTGGTTCTCCAGCAACCAAGCAAGGTTGTTAACGGACTGCAATGTGTCCGGATGATTAGGTCCCAGTTGAGCTTCACGGCCTGCTAGCGCTCTTCTGTGAAGTACTTCCGCTTCTTCGAGGTTGCCCTGCTTCTGCAGCACCAACGCAAGATTATTGGCTGACTGCGATGTGTCCGGATGCATCGCCCCGAGCAGAGTCTCCCGTCCCTCTAAAGCTTTCCTGCAAAGCACCTCAGCCTCTTCCAGTTTCCTCCGCTGCCACAAGACTATCCCGAGCATGTTCACTGACTGTAGGGTCTCCGCATGCATCTCTCCCAGCGCACTTTCGCGTTCAGTCACAGCTCTTCTGCACAAAGTCTCAGCCTCCAGCAGCTTCCCTGCAAGTCGCAGCATATCCGTGAGATTGTGTACCTCTCTGAGGGTTGCAGTTTCGCTGATTGCCAGGACTCGCCGGCACAGTGGCTCCGCCTTGGCATAGTCACCGCGTGCCGTCAGCACGTTGGCCAGCCTCGGGGCGACCAGGGTTCCCGGGGGCGCAAGGGCCGAAGTCTCGGAGTTTTATGGTTTTTCATGCATGGAAGAGTTCGAGATTAAACGAAGACTTTCTTGTGTCTTCAGTTCGACCTATTGTTGAAAATTGAGACCCACTATCTGCTTTAGTTCATTGTATTTGAATACATCATTGTCTAGTTGGTGAAAAATCCAAGGCCCCAGCCGGCTCGATGCCTTGAGGGATTCAAAATGCTCTGATCCCAGTCTCTCTTCGATAGCTTTGGCGCGGCAACGGACCCTTGGCTAGAGAAAAGCTTACCGAAAACTGGGTTGGACGTTGAGCTACAGCTTGCTCTGTCCGGAGGTCGAATGTCTAAGAAATGCAAAGCTTGACAGTGGTGGTCGGAAAGTCTGACACAAGTAGAACGTCATTCCACAACAGTTGTGAGCGTGTTGCTGTTGCTTCAGCTACTTGTCTTCCCCGAGAAATAGAAACACATGCACCTAGGCAGCGTACAAATTCCTAGATGGTGTGCTGTACCATTTAATGCAAGTCAAGCGTTCACTGCTCAGCTACCAAGATGGAATGAGTATAATCTGCAATACATTTAACACAGACTAGAGACACACAGCCAATGGGTGTGAAGGAACCATCTCGAAGGCTGTGCGCTGCTTTGAGATATTCTTCTAAATTTCAAGGGGTGCCATGAAGCCTTGTGATGACTGAGTGTGGCATGCAATAATCAATACCCTTTGGCAAGTTAAATGACTGGTTTCTCATCGCAAACAAGCATCGCTTCCATCAGCACTGCCCTGGCATTGCCAACCTCCTCCTCCGTTTCTACTCGAATGACGAAACACTGTCGAGGCGGCATACCATCTTCGTTGAGCGGCATTCCAGCTAAATTCCTCGGCAGAACATAGCCTATTCCCGAGGCAATTTGAAATCTAACAGCGGTCCAACTGTCACTGTATCACGCAGTCACATCTAGGAGATGCAAACTAGGTGTCCGGCACACCAACGGGCTTCCCCTGTCAAAAAAAGACTGGTGACAGGCAAAAGTATTCTTGCACCCTTCCAAAAAAACCTTGAGCCCAGAAACGCACACAACTAGTGGTTGGAATTCGCCCCTCCACTTTGCCTGCTTGACCATTTCAGGCGTTCGTCTCTTCGACACGTCATAGGCCATGGATGCATTGACGAGGATGGGGATGCAGAAGGACACCCTGGATCTGTATTCCTCTGTCAAAGGGCATCTTCTGGTCAAAGACCGAATGACTGATATTGATATAAACATGCCGCAGCAAAGGACATCATCAAGGAACACACAGGAGCTGCCCTTCACGGCTGCCTCACGACCCTTCAAGTCGATGTCTCGCTTGAGCATCCTCCTATAGTTGTTGTCAAGCAGTGTTTCGAGATTGGGCCACTCATCTGGGGGCTTCTGTACGGAGTAAACT